ATTCTTCCTTAGCATAAGCCTGCAAATGTATGAAAAAAAAAAAAATACTTCCTAGAGCCACCAATTAATGTCACATTTTAAAATTAACCCATTCATTTTCAGTGTTTCTTCAAATTACATTTCAAATTAAGAAAAACATATTCCTGTCGTGACCTCTTTGCCCTTCACCTGCCCCTGCCTCCCCTTGGCTCCTAGTATCAGCTGAACTTATCCCACTACTCAGATTCCTGAGTCAGGGGAGCGGTCAGACGCAAAGGGGCGTGGTGAGGTATTCCTGTGGTCAAGTCCGAGTCTCCTCTAGACTGGCTTAGAGATGTCGCCCCAATTGTTTAGGGATAATGCTTGTAATTATGTTTCAGCATAAGTTCTCAAACTTTACTGTGTATTAGAGTCATCTGGAAAGTATGTTAGAAACACAAATTTCTGAAGCTTTGAGAAGCCCTCTTCTGTTTTGGAAAGTTTGGGTAGGGGACCAGGAATCTGACTTTTGAACAAACATTCCAGATGATTCGGATGCAGATGATCCACAGACCACCCTTCAGACATGCTGCCAAAGATTACTTAGGCAATTCTACAAGTAATTTGGAGGGTTCTTTTTATGGTTTAAAGAGGGAGATTTTATAAAGAGGAATATTTGCAAATAGATTTTTTTAACATTAAAAAATGTGATGACATGTCATCGGAGCAAAGGCTTCAGTTTGGGTGGTAGTTTGTTCACTTGATAACCTGTGTTTCTTAGAGAAGCTAGTTAGTTGTACTTTCTTAATACGTAACATGATAACGCCATCAGTCACTCCAAGGGGGTAACGTAGGGGTGAAATATGTTAAAAACAAAAAACAAAAAACACCTTACTCATGAAAAGTAGGCTAGAAACATTAATAATGATTATCCCTTTAGCACTGGCAATTTCAAGAACAGATTATTCAACTAAATGAAGAAAGGCTAAGTCCAGATTTTCCATAAATCAGTGTTTCACTCACATGAAGCATGAAGGCTGTGTTTGTCGGCCCCCAGGAGCACACCTAGGCCAGAGGCAGGCCAAGTTGCCATCATGAAACAATTATGTGGTTAAATAGCAGTTATCTGGCATTAACAGTAATTTAATAAAACCGACATTTGATTTAGTGCCAGGAACTGCTACCAAGTGTAAACACAATAATAGCAAAAACAATTTTTTTCTCATTTCAAAAATTCATGTCTGACAATTCTGACCCACTCTGCAAGAGAAAAGAGGGCAGAAGGGATATCACCAGCTACAGACCGGCTGGAAGTGAATTATGTGAGCTTTCCTATTATCTGGGAGCCACTTCTTATTCTGTGCAAGACGGTGTCAGGCAGATACACATCACTAATTACAAATTTATTTTGTCTGGATTTTGGAATTCAGTGAAAGACCTATAAAGGATGTAATGCCTTGTCTTTCTCCCTCCTCAACCACTTCAAATGCACATATACATGTATGTTTAGAACATTCATACAGGCAAATGCATACCAATGTATGACATACACAAACTATGTGTGTGTGTGTGTGTGTGTGTGTGTCTGTGTCTGTGCGTGCGCCATTTTCAGACTAACATTTTTTGGTAAGAAAAGTTTTCAGTAATAGTTCTCAACTTTGAATGGCTCACCTAATCCTGGGAAGTACTTTTATGGCAATCTGAGGGCAAGGGGATGCATCCTAGGCATCTTGTGTTGTATGTATAAACATTAGACACCGAACAAATATTCAGTATTGTTGAAGGTGATGAGAACTTCAGAACAAAGACCTAGGCAGGTCTTGGTGAGATTCTCAAGGAAGTGAAAATGTAAATAGGCCAGATTACCTCCTGACTTTTGTTATCTTGCTAGTCATATTAAGATAGATCAGGTTTCACTGCAATAGAAAACTCAGCGACTTAACACACAACAAAGTTTATATTTTATTCAATTAAAACCATTTAATTGTGGACATTGGAGACCCTCCAAGCCAACTGCCCTTCATGTGGCAACTCAGTGATGGAGGCTGTTTTTTTCTCGTGTCTGTACAATTTTGACACAAGATCTCCTCCACGGTCAATCAGCACAGGAAGGCAGTTTGGGCTGGTGGGTCTGGCGGCAGTAATTAGATGTTTGACGTGGATGTGATACGCATCGTTTCTGCTCATAGCCCACTGGTGCTGTAGCATTGGTCTACAAGCCGTGGTATAGGGCTATACAACCCGTCTTACATCCCGGACACAGAGAACTGGATAGAGTAAGACCAGAAGTCTCTCCTATACAGTTTAAATGGTTTCTAAAGAAATACATAACAGAGCAATAAGCTTCTTTTAAGAGGGGAAATCATAAAAAGATAAATTGAAGAAACTACTTAACCATATATAAAATAATATCTTAGATGCTGATTATGAAGAATTGTTCAGTACGAATACTTTTTTAATGTACCTAACTTTAAAATTGATATGTGTATTTTAAAACAACTTTAAGATGCCATGTATCTAAAATTTTATAGCAATCTATCATTTCTTTGTCAACTTATAGCTGATGAACAACTCCAATAATAAACTGTGATGATAGAAGGCCCAATGGAAAGCTGATTAAAATGCTGTTCAAAAGTAAATCTTCATTCTGTCACTAAATATATAGTATTAAACCACTGGGACTTTGCTTAAAGCAATTTTTCCTTCCTTTGATCATATACTTTTTTTTTTCTTAGAGAATTCTTAGGAAAATAAAATGTAATATAATTTAAATTTAGATTCACACTAGGCCAAAGCTTGAAGAGTTGTGACAATGCAGTTTCTGGTCATCCCCAAATCTCCATAGAAAGGGTTGCCAGAACTGAGTTAATTCTCTGAGTTCTTTAGAATAGCTTTTCTCTGGGAGTTTTCAACACTAGATCCCTGATGGATTAAAAAATGGACCAATCTCAAACCTGACACTTAAAAGCTGACACAAAGAATTTAGAACAACTAAATTGTTAACATATTTTATGATATTTAGTTTCCTTCTTTGTCACAGAGGTGTGATTAAACTTCCTGGTTCAGCTATTGGCGTTGGCTAGAGATCCTTGAACAAGAAAGAAAAAGTTATACGAATTTATAAGAAAAGGAAACCAAACTTAATTTTAACCTTTGCGTGAAAGTCTTTAATAACATAATTAATCTTCTTGTATGGATGCCCTTTAGGATATTTTGAAATACCATCTGCTTTGGGAAACACAGGACTTTCTGGGGCTGGACTAAGGAAAGTCTGAATTCCCCTCCAGACCTAGGATTTGATGTGTAGACAGAGCGTGCAATTTTGCAATCTGCTGAGCCAGAAGAGGATTTAATATTACATTCAGAACTGTACTCAAATTGTCAAAAAAAATGTCCAATAAAATAACACTGCAAATCATACTTGAGTTAAACTAGCTGGCAGAGGAAGCATGACAAAATTGAGAAATAAAGCTTAGGGGACGTAGTGTTATTTACATGTTTTCGGGGCTCCCGCCCTGGGTGGCTCGCTATTTACAAGCCGGCAGTTTCCACCCTTCCCCTCTGCGTTAGGTTTGATGCAAAGCCAAGGCCTCCATCTGACTTCATCTGACTGTGGTCTAGTTCAGATTAGCATTTGTCACCACTCTTCACGGCAGACAGGGACACAGCAGAGGTGGAGGAGGAGGGGAGGGGAGGAGACGAGACTAAGGGGGCAAGGCTGTTGGAGGTAAACATACGTGAGACAAGCACAACAGTGAAATAGGAGGGTTACGTGACAGACAGATTGCTCACCACTTAATTTTAGATAACAGAAGGAAAGAGAATTTCAGAATTCTCAAAATATTTGTTGCCACCAGAAAATAAGCTCATTCAGTAAAGCATTATTGTGCACCCTCTCTGAAGATGTTTTATAGAAGTCTAAGCTTCTTACTTAGCAGCTTATGGGACATCTGGCTGAAAGATGACAGATAAATGCTTCCCAGAAAAATTAAGAGAAACTCTCTTCTGGTTTAACAGAAGAGAAAAACTATCAGAAAGAACAAATGAATCAATGTAATGCAAGTCCTTTTAAAAGCTAAAAAAATGACATTCTAGCAATATGAAAGTATTATCAAAAATAATGGTAATGAAAATATTTTAAGTAAAGATGATGTAAACAGCAACTTTTTTTCTTTATGAATACAGAACATAAACTCTTCACTATGGGCCAGACATTATTTTCATGCCTTCACATGTATTAACCTTCTAACAACCTTATGAAGTGAATTCTAGTGTCTCTCTATAACTGAGGAAACTGAGGCAGGGGGGAGGTTACATATCAGGCTGGAAAATGATGAACATGAGACTTGAACCCAGACAGCCCGGCTCCATCCTGCATAAACTGTGACAAATTATAAAAGGGAAGGACACGAATCTGTCAGTAAAGTTTTGCATTGGGAAAAATACTCCATCATGTATTTCCAAATTCTTAATTCTTGATGTAATTTCTGATGTTCCTATCACCGGTGGGCTGGATCCGTTTCAAGTAAGAGGTAAAATCTGAGGAAAGGAGCTACTGATTCTTGGCTCCGTGTTGTGCTCTATGACTCAGACTTAAAATAGCATTAAGTGATTTTATTCAGCCATTTTCACTTTCTTTTCGGAAAACGCAAGGTTGTACTGCTCATCACACCATCAAGGTATTGATTTGGACTGATGAGTTCCCTTAAGAATTGATTCGAGCTTGGGAGAAGATCAGTCTTCAGGAAGAATCTATATGGTTACATTATATGAGTTAGTACCATAGTAGCTGATTCTTTGACTTTATATTCCAACCAGTCTTTCTTGTCCTTTAGGTCATGTTTCTCCAGGTTAAATCACCGTATTAAGGAGTATCGATTTGCTTGAGCTGTGGGTCATAAATCTTTCCCCACCAGGTAAATGATAGCAATTAAATGGAATTTTGCTTAGAAGGGAAATGATTTTCCCACAACTTTGACCTGTCAGTGTAAGTCCTGACACTCCCATAAATCACAGGGCTTAGTGCAGGCTTTGTGACGAACCGCTTAGCCTAGACTGGTTGCCAGGAGGCTGTACCTGGAGCTTGCACTGAGAACGATCGGCATCCTTTCGTGGGAGATACATTACAGAAGTGAATCCACAGACTGAATGGCCAGATCAAATAGGTAAATGCAGCTGGCAAAGGAAATACTTCATCTGGAAAGTGCAGGCTTTGTTATCAGGCAGACCTGGGATGGAACCCAGCTTTGCACGTTACAAAAATGATCACTGATGAGGTACTGAAGTTCTCTCAGCTCTAGTTTCCTCTTCTTTAAGACAACTGTTAAAAGCATTAACTAGTCATAATATGTCTGGTACAATGCATGACATAATAAGTGCTCAGTTGATTTTTTTAATAATGAAAGGCTACTTTTCAACAAATTCAATTATTGGAGAAGAGGTGTGAATATTTTTGAAGACTTCTAACTAATTAGACATTATTTTTCATTCATCAAAACCTATTAATTAGAAATCTGAATCCTTATTATTCAATTTCTGAATAATGAATAGTTTGAATTACTCTGAATTAATTGAATACTACTACTCTGAATTAATTTGAAAAGTATTCAAATTATTGAGGTTGTTCAATCTGCTAAAGTCATACTGATTTTCCAGGTCCCTCCCTCTCCGAAGCAAACCAAACCTGAATCTATCATATTTCCTCAAACTTCAGAGATGAGTTTCTGATTTTAAGTACTATTTTGGGCAAAGATCAGAGCTATGCCTTCTCTTCGCAGGCATTCAATCTGAAATGCTCGTAGCTCCAAGAGTCATATGGTAGTCGGGGTTATTCAAGGGTCTCTTGCACACTTTGTTTGTGATAAAACTAAGCAATCATCAACAGCATTGCCTTCTCCACCTTCTGAGGTAAGATACCCTTCCTCAGAGCATTGTCACACGCACTTGTGGTAGTGAGATGCCTCCTCCCCACGCCCATCTTAAGAAGGATGAGAGGAAACAAATCTTATTGTGGTAAAGATCAGGGGCCATAATCTAGTCACTGTTTCTCCCTGCCAAGGGAATTTTGAGATTCACACACTCCAGTATGGTAGCTACTAGTTACATGTGTAGCTACATAAATTTAAATTTGGTCAAAATTAAATACAAAACTGAGTTTCCTCAGTCATGCTAGCCACATGTCAAAGTGTGCAATAGCCACATATAGCTGGCGGCTACCATTTTAGACAATGCATATATAGAAAGTTTCCATCAGCTCTGAAAGTTCTATCTGGAAGTATTGCTAAATGATTGATAGTAGCAAAGGTATCCAATTATAATTTTTCCTTCCCATGGAGCATACTCAGATATGGGCTTCCTCTTATTTTCTTTTATTCTTTAAGAGTCAGAAATATGCAAAAGTGCTTATAGCACAAAATGTAAGGCTGAACACCATCTCATGCTTTTACTCCCATTCCTTGTTTGGACTACTTTAAATTATTTCATGGAACGGAATCACTACCACCTCCTGGTCCCGGGTTCTCCATTTCACAGGGGAGGGAAGCATGGCCACTGACAGTGACCTCAGCTTGCGGAGGCGAGCCTGACTGCCCAGTGGTTACTTGGCACATTCTGCCTCTCAAGTACTTCTACTGGTCAACTGTGTACGTAATAGTTGTAGCAGCTTTTGACAAGGGGCTGGACCTGCTGCCTAAGCCAGATAGATAGGCAGTGAGATGGCCCTTTCCGGACCTACTGCTCCTGCTTCGAGTCTCTCTGGATTTTGCTGTTTCCCTTCCTCACCCCCATCTTGTTTACGCTGCCCAGCTTGTTAGTTGTCAGTGTTCACCATAATGGCAGGATTGATGGTGCCACGTGGCAAGGAGATGAGATAATCAACTTTCCATGAGGGCTGAGAAGCCTCTGTCTCTCCCCCCTAGAAGGCTAATCAAGATAATGAGAGAATGTTGGTGCATTGCACCCCAAGCCAGGGCTCTTCACTTCCCTGTACCCAGGTCCTATGCAGCCTAGACTCTACAGCAAAGGCCCAGAATAGCCTAAGCTGCACATTCATCTGTAATATATATGATTCTGTATGAAAAAGATTCAGCATTAGCTCAAGGGCTACAGGGTAAAGAAGGGGGTGCCTTTTTAATTCCACTTTTCCTACAATCACAAATAAAATTCATAACCAATCTTTAAAAGATTATCTAAGAGACTGTGGATATTTATAATGTGGAGTTCTGTTCCACAGTAAGCCTTCAAAAAGAGACACTCTGGTTTAAAAAGTACATAATAGTGAAGAGAAGCGGGCAGGTCAAACTTTAAGCCATATAGAAGCAGAGGGGGTGGAAAAGGCACCAGCCGGCTCCCTGCAGTGACATACAGACCCGCCGGAGACTGGCAGATCGCTTAGCCATTCATTTGCCAGCTTGCTCCTTTTCATCAACTCCCTTGTGATTTCACCCTCTACACCCAGTCCTGTCAGTGTCCCTGCCCCGGTGACAGAAACCACCACGACGACTTCTATTCCTACTACGCTGTGTGTGTTCCTAGCATCCAAAGTGAAATCATGAATGCCTTTTTCTGGAGAGGCATTCGATGGTTCAATAAATGTCAGTCCTAGGAGATCATTAGCTGTAATTGGGTAACTGATTATTTAGGAGCAAGAATGGAAGCAGAGGTTCACTTATGAGGCTATTTCAGAAGTCTAGGCAAGAGATGATAAAGGCTTTCATGAGGTAGGTAGTAGTAGAATGAATGGAAAAAAGTGGATGGATTAAGGATAAGTCTTAGGATAACACCAAGTGGACTGAATTTGAAGTAGGTGGGGTGGGGGAAAGAGAGAGAAGTGGCGGGGGGCAAGAGTAATAGTGACATTCATTTGCCAGGAGGCTGTACCTGGAGCTTGCACTGAGAACGATCGGCATCCTTTCGTGGGAGATACATTACAGAAGTGAATCCACAGACTGAATGGCCAGATCAAATAGGTAAATGCAGCTGGCAAAGGAAATACTTCATCTGGAAAGTGCAGGCTTTGTTATCAGGCAGACCTGGGATGGAACCCAGCTTTGCACGTTACAAAAATGATCACTGATGAGGTACTGAAGTTCTCTCAGCTCTAGTTTCCTCTTCTTTAAGACAACTGTTAAAAGCATTAACTAGTCATAATATGTCTGGTACAATGCATGACATAATAAGTGCTCAGTTGATTTTTTTAATAATGAAAGGCTACTTTTCAACAAATTCAATTATTGGAGAAGAGGTGTGAATATTTTTGAAGACTTCTAACTAATTAGACATTATTTTTCATTCATCAAAACCTATTAATTAGAAATCTGAATCCTTATTATTCAATTTCTGAATAATGAATAGTTTGAATTACTCTGAATTAATTGAATACTACTACTCTGAATTAATTTGAAAAGTATTCAAATTATTGAGGTTGTTCAATCTGCTAAAGTCATACTGATTTTCCAGGTCCCTCCCTCTCCGAAGCAAACCAAACCTGAATCTATCATATTTCCTCAAACTTCAGAGATGAGTTTCTGATTTTAAGTACTATTTTGGGCAAAGATCAGAGCTATGCCTTCTCTTCGCAGGCATTCAATCTGAAATGCTCGTAGCTCCAAGAGTCATATGGTAGTCGGGGTTATTCAAGGGTCTCTTGCACACTTTGTTTGTGATAAAACTAAGCAATCATCAACAGCATTGCCTTCTCCACCTTCTGAGGTAAGATACCCTTCCTCAGAGCATTGTCACACGCACTTGTGGTAGTGAGATGCCTCCTCCCCACGCCCATCTTAAGAAGGATGAGAGGAAACAAATCTTATTGTGGTAAAGATCAGGGGCCATAATCTAGTCACTGTTTCTCCCTGCCAAGGGAATTTTGAGATTCACACACTCCAGTATGGTAGCTACTAGTTACATGTGTAGCTACATAAATTTAAATTTGGTCAAAATTAAATACAAAACTGAGTTTCCTCAGTCATGCTAGCCACATGTCAAAGTGTGCAATAGCCACATATAGCTGGCGGCTACCATTTTAGACAATGCATATATAGAAAGTTTCCATCAGCTCTGAAAGTTCTATCTGGAAGTATTGCTAAATGATTGATAGTAGCAAAGGTATCCAATTATAATTTTTCCTTCCCATGGAGCATACTCAGATATGGGCTTCCTCTTATTTTCTTTTATTCTTTAAGAGTCAGAAATATGCAAAAGTGCTTATAGCACAAAATGTAAGGCTGAACACCATCTCATGCTTTTACTCCCATTCCTTGTTTGGACTACTTTAAATTATTTCATGGAACGGAATCACTACCACCTCCTGGTCCCGGGTTCTCCATTTCACAGGGGAGGGAAGCATGGCCACTGACAGTGACCTCAGCTTGCGGAGGCGAGCCTGACTGCCCAGTGGTTACTTGGCACATTCTGCCTCTCAAGTACTTCTACTGGTCAACTGTGTACGTAATAGTTGTAGCAGCTTTTGACAAGGGGCTGGACCTGCTGCCTAAGCCAGATAGATAGGCAGTGAGATGGCCCTTTCCGGACCTACTGCTCCTGCTCCGAGTCTCTCTGGATTTTGCTGTTTCCCTTCCCTCACCCCCATCTTGTTTACGCTGCCCAGCTTGTTAGTTGTCAGTGTTCACCATAATGGCAGGATTGATGGTGCCACGTGGCAAGGAGATGAGATAATCAACTTTCCATGAGGGCTGAGAAGCCTCTGTCTCTCCCCCCTAGAAGGCTAATCAAGATAATGAGAGAATGTTGGTGCATTGCACCCCAAGCCAGGGCTCTTCACTTCCCTGTACCCAGGTCCTATGCAGCCTAGACTCTACAGCAAAGGCCCAGAATAGCCTAAGCTGCACATTCATCTGTAATATATATGATTCTGTATGAAAAAGATTCAGCATTAGCTCAAGGGCTACAGGGTAAAGAAGGGGGTGCCTTTTTAATTCCACTTTTCCTACAATCACAAATAAAATTCATAACCAATCTTTAAAAGATTATCTAAGAGACTGTGGATATTTATAATGTGGAGTTCTGTTCCACAGTAAGCCTTCAAAAAGAGACACTCTGGTTTAAAAAGTACATAATAGTGAAGAGAAGCGGGCAGGTCAAACTTTAAGCCATATAGAAGCAGA